AAGCCAGCAGATGGAGAAGAGAGCATCAAGACTGGTTGCAGACAGCCTATCAATCTCAAGGTGTAAGTAATGTAGTCATTTTCGCTCATATTCTCATGTTTATTGAGCTATATTTAACCTTGAAGCAAGGGAGAATGATTGATTAGCAAGCACGAGTCTTAAAATTAGTTTTCTGCAACAGGCCTAATTATCATTAAATAGGCAATATAAATAATCAATTCGTTTACGTACGATAGCTGAAACCCCCAATCGTCATTTTAGAAGAAGTATAAATTATGTTTCTCGCTTACGGGGCGTCAAGTTGATGTTTTGGTTGTATTAGCATAAAAACACAAAACGTGACACACATTTTTTTTTTTTAACGAAATTGTTGCATCATCGCCGTGCGTTACATCTTTGGCGTGATTAACGCTATAGAAATGGATTCATATGAATAGTTTGCTTTACACGTTGGTAAATCTGGATGTGACTGCTTGTGATTGGTTGTGATCCGTTTTTTTTTTAATAGTAAACCTGCGAACTTTAATGCGTAGTTTATTGCCAGCAAAATTCACAGGCATGCGTTTAATCGCTGTGTTTATTGTCCTCGAGGACTTGTTTCCAGAGGTCGCAAACGCAAATTCCGGTTAATCATGCACGTTCAACGTTTTGTGGCGGCCAAGATTCGGATGACCATGACCAAGCTTGCGCGTCTCTCGGACAACCATGGCTGGTGATCGGCTAACCGAAAACTACATGTAACATTTTTTAGGCTGAAAAAGTGTTAAAATTGTTTTCATTTCCAATATTTCTGCACTGAATAAGGTGCTAAATGCACCATGCGCTCGTAAGGTAAATCGAGGAGTGCGAGCCCCACACAAACGATCGTGAAGGATGAAAACACCTACAAATGCTCAGTCTCCAGTAAAGTCTGCTAACCGTAACCGTAACCAACCGAGCTTGGAAGTCGGTTACCCACACCCGTCCGTGGTTACGGACAAATCTTACACGAACGGGTACGGTTAACCAGTTGCGACCTCTACTTTTGACTTGCTTGTGGCTGCAAGCAAGTCACAAATCTGCACTTTCTATGGAGTTTGCTTATGCTGGCGGACCGCCACTGGCGGTAACATTGTTCATCGGTGATCGGTTCCGACCATCTGGGTAAGCTCATCGTAAGCCTCGGGGGTTTTCGAGATTACGCCAAAGTGAGAAAAAGGATTTTACAGTGGATGCTTCACCCAATGCAAAGACAAGTTGCTCGCTAAAAAATATATATCGCTAAAATATCGCTCTATTCTGGATACTGATTGACTTCGGGTTATTGCTTTCTTTAACAATAAGCCATTTTATAAAAATCTCTTGCATTTTCTATTTGAAGGTGCAGCGTTGTCAATCACTGAGTTGTGGTAAAGTGAAAGCTTCTTCAGTTTGTGTGGACAGTAGTAGTACGAAGGCTGACACAGGTTTGTTGTTCGCATAACATGCAGTATATTTTCATTTCTAATCCATCCAAGCTGATTGCACTCGGAGGAAGCATTGTTCCTAACTACGGTAAGGACAAAACATCTTTAATATGTTTTTAGTAATATTGTTCCCAAACCACTTTCAAGAAAAGTAGCCGACCAGCCTAGTAAAAGGTGTAGAGTAAAGCCTTCCTACCAGCTATGACTGATGGACAGAAGCGGGAAAGGACCATGTCCTCCACTGCGCGCGTCCACGCTAGACTCCTGCGACGCATCATATTCAAAGTACGATTTGGATCTAAATGTGTAAGTCTCTCCTGGCCTCATAACAGAGACTAATACTTTTGGACAATGGAAAAGTTTCACAATGTAGCTAACTGCAGTATTATGATTTTGGAAAGCGTGGTTAATGCGACAAGCATCGATTACTGGACCAGAACAGTTCGTAA